AGAGAGAGAGAGAGAGAGAGAGAGAGAGAGAGAGAGAGAGAGAGAGAGAGATTTCTTCTTTGCGTTTCGGTGTTAGACCCTGGGAGAGTAAGAGAGTTATAGCCTGCTGTCTTCAACCTGCAGAGCAACTGATTTTTCCCTATGTGACCTTTTTTTCTACTCAGATTTCTTGCTTTCAGGCACCCACTTTCCGATTTCTTATTTGTGAGGCATCGTGATGAAATCAGGCACTTGTCAAAATAATGAAATCGAAGATATCGACATTTTTTCGCCAATCTGACATTTTTGTCCTCTATTTTTTTGTTTTTTGAGGTGGGGGAGGGGGGGCTCAACAGCTTTTATGTCCATTAAAAAGATATTTCTATGTGGATTTTACAGAAAACCATTGATTAAATACTCAACAAATGTACATTTTCAGTTTCAAGTATTTCAAGATTTGGAAATCAACAAACTTTGACGGCCATTTTCCCGTGTATTTTACCTCTAAAACCAGGCATCCCCGACCTCATTCAATCGCAAATAGCTCAACTTCTATTTAAGACAGATGTTTTCATAGAAACAGGGTCAATTGAACAAGCTTTAAGATAATACCAACAACTCCAGATGCGCAAAAATTGACAAGCGCCTGATTCTACCCCGTCGAAACACATTTTTTGTACTGACTAGAGCATTTTCAGTTTAGGTAAGAATTGACTTTGAATGTTGCCCAGGTGGCAAATGAAGTCTACTCTTATTGATTTTAGGATCTTCAACGTGCGCGACTTGCTAACGGTACCTCGAATTAGAATGTTCGCCTTTATCCGAGAAGGCTAGGTACGTGTTCAATCTTACCTACTCCGAAAGACAGCAGTAGTAATAAGGTGTCAGGCAGTGGTGGGGCGCCATTGGTGCAATTGGTGCAAGCGCTCCACCTAACCCTGGCCTTCTCACCCCCCGCCCCCTTTTCTAATTGTTCTAAACCAGTCAGTGCTCTAAATCTACATTACTACATCTTTGCGATCCGTCACCCGCTGGCTGCGCCAGTGAAGAGACAGATGGCGAGGAGGGTTTATGCTCGTCGCACCGCTTGCGGTAGTGTCTGCTGGGAGCAAGCAAAATCTTTTGCACCAAAGTTATTTTTGTCACTGTAGAGAAATCTAGGCATCGTTCTTCCCACACAAGAAGAAAGGTACATGAAACTGCTCTTCGCAGCACCAGTTCGGTGCAAGCTAAAAATTTGATCCAAGTTTCCGCGAGCCTATCTACTGTAACACTATTAAGTAGAGTCTACGGTAACTCAGTGAAGAATGGGTATCGACACTGTTGTCTCTCTCTATTGTGTAGCAAGTCCTGGTGCTACACGAAGTACAGTAATTAGAAATCTTTAAATCTTCTCAGATTGTGAGCATAGTGAGTTGTTAGTATTGTTTCACTTTATTGCAGCTTTTAAGCGGTTTCATCTAGATCTAGAAACTAGTTCTAAATATCGATAGATGTAGATTATCGGATATCCTGCAGATTCTAACTGACTTTCTCTAGAAATCTTAATAGTAGCTACTAAGCCTGTTGCCCATTTGCTCACTTTCTAATTATGCACCACTTTGTTTGCAACCCACGTGACGCCGCTGGTGTCAGGAATAGCAGCAGAAAAAACTAAAAGGAGGCCGGAGGTTTGGGGTGAGAGGTCAGGTGTATACTAAAAGCAAATGACAAAATATAACTAGAGAATAGGGAAAGAGGGGACAGAAGAACATTTCGGACAAGACAATATTTCGACACTGTAAGGTTTCGAACCCAGGACCTTTTGAATGAGATGCAAACACCCTACCTCTAGACCACGAGAGCGCCTTGTCTGCTAATGAGAGAGAGAGAGAGAGAGAGAGAGAGAGAGAGAGAGAGAGAGAGAGAGAGAGAGAGAGAGAGAGAGAGAGAGAGAGAAGAGAGAGAGAGAGAGAGAGAGAGAGAGAGAGAGAGAGAGAGAGAGAGAGAGAGAAAGAGAGAGAGAGAAGCTAGAAAGAGGGAGAGAGAGAAAGGGAGGAGATTCAAAACAAATAAGCACACACACACACACACACACACACACACACACACACACACACACACACACACACACACACACTCACACACACACACACACACAGACACACACACTCACACATGCGCGCGCTTGCGCTTACAGAACACACACTCACACACAGACTCAAGAGACAGACAAACAGACACACACATACATACATATAATATCTATCTGTCTGTTTGTCTGTCTGTCTGTCTGTCTGTCTGTCTGTCTGTCTGTCTGTCTGTCTGTCTGTCTGTCTGACTGTCTGTCTGTCTGTCTATCTATCTATCTATCTATCTATCTATCTTAGTTTTAGTAGAGGTTTTACGACGCTCGCAACTGCATAAGGTCATATGAGCGCCAAAATCTATCTATCTATCTATCTATCTATCTATCTATCTATCTATCTATCTATCTATCTATCTATCTATCTATCTATCTATCTATCTATCTATCTATCTATCTATCTATCTAATAGCTTGTTTACAGGGGCTCCAGTGAAACAATACTACTACTATCATTACGATTGTCATCGTGATCCGTATCATCATCATTATCATTATTGCTATTATTATTATTTTCATTATTATTATTATTATTATCATCATCATCATCATTATTATTATTATAATTAATTAATTAATATTATTGTTAATATTATTGTAATTGTTATCATTATTATAATTATTATTTTATAATAATAATAATAATAATAATTAATAATAATAATAATAATAAAAATAATAATAATAATACAATGTAATGATTATTAGATTTCTATTCCTTATTATTATTAATTACTGGTATAGAGGGATTCAAAATAATAATTTCCCGCATTCATGATATGTTTTTATACTGCTAAGACTTAGGCCTATATCTACTTGGAGAATTTTCGAAGGTGTTGTCAACAATAATAATGATAGATTTTTATCTGATCTAGTCTCTTATTATCGGCCCCTAATAGATAACAATAATAATAAATATTAGTTTTAAATAAATGGTTTGCACTACTGCTGTATCTTTTTTATAGCCTTTACGAGTCGGTTTTTTTTCTCCATATATTCATTTGTCTAAGAACTTGTTCTTTAGAAGTCACTGGACTGGACTGTACACCGGATAAAATCAACACTCGCGCTTGTTTTATTGATTGATGATGCTATCACTATTGATCAATGATTTGGATCATCCGTCTATCTCATCCATCTGTGATTAGAATCTGTGCTTTTCCTTCCTGTGCGAGAACTGGAATTTGTTGTAGTCCCAGTCCCAGGCTTACAAGATCTACTAATTAATGAGCACGTAAGGCCTACTACTAAAGAAAAATAGCCAATTATAATGAAAATTAAACTCAGTAGGTCTAGATTCTAGATCTAATCTAGATCTAGATATAGTATTAGTCAGTACAGTCTGAGTACAGGCCTCCTAACCCTACTGTATAATTGGCCTGAATCTTTGGTCAGTGGTCATGACCTACCTAGAACTGTAACAATGGACACTGATGGCCCAAGGTAAGGGGTCAAAGGCCAAAGTGCATTCTCAAGCAAGGACTCCCCTCCTTTTACCAAGTCACTAGATATAGTAGATCTCTACTACTGGAAGGCTACAGTCTGATTCTTTATTAAGGGCCTCCACTTCTTAGAAGCCTCCAAGGCTAGAGTTAGACTTGAATCCACAGTCAAGAATTTTTCAAAATATTAGTTTGCAGGTGCATATCTGGTAGGGTCTACTCGGATTCACAAAAGTGCCTATGTAGCCTACTGGAGTTGAAACTTCAAATTCAAGTGGAAACACTGAACGACCTGACTGGTGGTAATACCTAAATATATGCAGATTTGTTCTTGATGTTATTTCAGTTATGATTACGACTTTATAAATCAGTCTTTTAGGATATTTTAGGCGTTGTTGATATTATCTCGTGTAGAGTCATATTTTTATACCATCACTATCTTCAACATTATCATCATCATTTTCATCCTCAGAATCACCACCATCACCATCATTCTCGTCTTCATCATCATCATCCAAAAGAAAAATAGTGAGGAATGTTTAATTTTAAAGGTCATTAGACAGTTTTTTGTGACTTTTACTTTGTATAATTATATGTAGCCTACATGTAGGCTGCTATATATATGTGAAGCGTGCTGACAAAATGAGTTACTTTGCGGATCCAAGCCTTATGGAAATAGATACATCACGCTATTGGGTGAAGTCTTTACAATTTATAAGTATGGAATAATAAAAAGCACGTTATACAAAAAGAATGTGGCATCAATAGAAAATCTACTAATCGGACCCTATAATGTGGACTTTTGGCCAATATTTCCGTTTGTGGATCGCGAGAAGTAACTCATTTTGTCAGCACGCTTCACATATACATGATGACATCTAGATCTATTTATTATGATATGTAGAATTTTGGTGACAACATTCGCCTTGCTTGTAAGCTTCACTATTATTTTCATCATATATTGGCATTAAATTTTCATCGACGTCATTATGTCATAATAATTGTTGTTTTTAATCTACTAAGTTGTTATTGTATTTATTAATTTTTCAAATTTAAACATAACTTTATATTGACCCCCCCCAGATAATGATCGGCCATTTTGTATCGTGCGCTGTCGCGGTTGGTCTTGTGGCAGTGTTCATCAGCTACCCACAGCCACCGTTGTCGTCCCGGCTGGAGCAATGGAAACAGTTAGGAGAATTCCTCAGTGTAGGCAAACGGAAAATATTTTTTGTTGGTGAGTATATATATATATATATATGTGCAAATTAGGGTTAAAAATACCTATCCTGGAAAATGTTTCTGTGTTATTGAGGGCGAAAGTAACATATAACCCAATTTCTTTCTTTATACTATGGACATAAAGGAACAAACCCTATATTAGAGCAACAAAAATAAATGCCATTTACTCAAAGATACACGACTCTGGATGGTCAAGATTGCACTGCATTATAATTATTGTGTTTGAGTGTTCAGAATTTTAAAATATCTTTCGGTTTCTGAGCCTTTAGTTCACAAAATTTGGAGTCTAATTTATGTTTCTGTTAGCGTCACATCAAGGTACAAACTTATAATATCTTCACGGACAGAAGGGCGAGAGCCCAGCTGTTGCTGGATCGATAACAACAACAACAACATAATATCTTCAACACGCCACATGCTACTCGCTCGAGAGTTTATTCTGAACTGAACTGCCGTGGCTTGTGAAAACCCACATCTTAATGGTCATGTGATACACAAAAGATACAAAAGACATAACTCGGATAATACAACGATCACAACCACACACAGTTACTCTCTCTTAACAATACATCAAGCTACTCAAGTTTCCTTTCACTGTTCTTAGACAGTATACTAGACTGCGTGTAGTCAAAGATAGTACATAACAAGATTGGCCACTTAGCCAAAAAAGTGTCCGCCGGAAGTTCGCTCTTTGCTTCAGATGGTGCTGCAGTCTGTTTTGAAGCTCTCTTTCATTTTTCCAGAAGAAGAATAGGAATATCACCTCCTTGCTTGCGCAGATCGACTGCTGTTCATCAGCAGTTCGGGTTCATTCAGTGTGGAGTTTTAGGTTTTAAAAATTTTAATGACCTCTCACCTTTCATTCTTAAGTCAAATTAAACGAAGAGAACAATCACCCTTTCCTGCGGAAGAGGTATTTTGTCAGCGTAACCATTTTAAAAAGGCGTTCTTCCGAAATTTATTCAAAAACTTGCTAGTTTCACTTTGAATTTTTAAACTCAAGTAGGGTAACTCTGTTCGCAAAGGGTGTGCATTTGCGAAGAGGGCGCCACCCAATTTTGAGGACACTTTTTTAATTGGCTCAAAGAGAGAAGTGGCCCCTCTTGTTATGTAGACTCTTTGGTGTAGTGTAAACTGAGTGGAATCTCACAATGTAACTGTCAGACAGCAGTCTGAAAAACGATAACGTTTTTGAACTGTGGGCAAATATTTTGACAGAATACATACTTATAATTGTTATCTAATACGGGGTGCCCTTTATGGTGGGTCAGCATCGCCCAACCCCGCTGATCCCATCTGTAACGGGTACCCTGTATAACAACATGCACTCTATTCCTTGTCTTATCCCAAGATGAAAAAGGTCAAGGTTCATCTGGACCTGTAGTCTGTCTCCATGGCTTTCCTACCAGCAGCTATGACTGGATCAAAGTGAGTTATAGTGGGAGTTGGGAAGATTTTGTACAGAAGTATATTGCTTTTCATTCTTTCTGCTTTTACCGAAAGTAAATGTCTTCATTTCTTAGCTTATTATGAAACAATGTTTATTTGCCTTTATTTTATTGTATCTTGTTGAAGAGGAGTGTTCCTAATTTTGGATTTTTTAAAATGATGCTCACCATTTTCTCAGAGTACTTCATGTATATATAGAAATCCTTCACATTTATTTGGTACAGCATAACTGTATAGATGTATATTTTTATGTGTGTACAGGTTATATTGTTTTTATGCGAATGGGGTTGGAAAGTCTCCAGGAAAGGAGGAGGTTAGGCAATGAATGTTTTTAAATGATGAATATAAGCAGTATAGTATAGTTAAGACCTCTGTCAGAATACTTACTTCTTGGTAACAAACATAACAATGGTTAATTTGTAAGAAAAGTTATCCTTCCTTTGTAAAGTTTTTGAAAAATGTTTCTTGATTGTGTCTTCCAGATCCTACCTGATATGAAGAGCCAGTTTTCTCGTGTGATAATGCTGGATTTTCTCGGCTATGGGTTCAGTGACAAGCCAGTAAGTAATTAGATGGGTTTGAATCGTATGAATGCCCAATATAGTTTGTCTGATGTGCATAATTCATGTTGTTTTTCCGACTTCGATATTAGTAAAGTTTTTATAAAAATGCAGCAAGTGCATCGCTTATCAGTTAGTACTTATCGGAAAAAGTGTGATACACAGAGAGACAAAAATTATTTACTTAAAATGTTGAAACTAAGAGTTTGGAGTGAATAAGTGTTTCTTTTAGTCATTTTTTGCCGTAATGTTCTTTTTGAATTTAGATATACATATGTAATACATATATTATCTATATTTTCAAAGCCATATCCTAAGTAGACAAGTGTTTGATAACCTTAGGGATAATGTTTTTCTAAAAATGTTGACATGTTCTTCAGTCATAGTGCAAGGGAATTGTGTGACCATTATGACCTCTGCTGAGACTAATTATATATGGGAATTTCTGTTGAATGTTTCATTGAAAACAAGTTTTGGATGTATACGTTAATGCTGCCTTTGGTTGTATTGATGAGCTTGCGCTGCATTGCCCTGATACGAGGTGCCCATTGGGGGATGGGGTCTGGTTGGGGCGGTTTGTTAGCCAGATTGAGGGCGCAAAGCGGCTATCGTGGCTCAAGCCGATCATGCCCAATTGGCCGCCTGAAAAACAAACGCATTTGTTTTCAGGCGAACGGACGGCCCGACCAAACCCGACCCGATCCCATCTGCAATGCCCCCCCCCCCCCCCATATAAAGTTTTTATTTTCTCTAGTCCACGTAACATACAGCCATGCAGCTTGCTGCTCCACGCCCAAACAGTTCGCAGGGGGCTCTCGTGGCCTAGAGGTTAAGGTGTTGGCCTCTCATTCAAAGGTCCCGGGTTCGAATCCGGGTAGCGACCGAAAAATTTTCTTCTCTAAAATTGTCTCCTTTCACCTCCTTTCCTGCTCTCTTGCAATGTTCTGTTGTCTGCTTTCATTTCCACTTTCTGCCCCCACCCCCTCACCTCCTGCCCCCTCCTCTGGGTTCCTGACTCTTTCTGCAGCCTTTCTACTGCTACTCCTTGGCTCCTCCTTACTGCTGTCTTTCTGCCACACCCCTGATCTTCTGGTAGGAAAGATCTACACCTAGCCTTCTCGGACAAGGGGGAAAAATCTCGGAGGGCCCGTGTGCAAGTTGCGCACGTTAAAGATCCCTTGGTGGTCTAAAATCGATAAGAGTAGGCTTCGGCCCCCACCTGGGCAAAATTCAAAATTTCCTACCAACTGAAAATATTAGGTGTGTCCCGCGCGCACATAAGACCTTATGCAGTTGCGAGCGCCGTAAAACACTTTACAAAAAAACACAAAAAAAAAACAGTTCACGACCTCAGTGCTTTCTTGTTCTATCTCCATTATTTTTAACAGTGAAAATGTGACTTCTTCTAAAGCTCACTCTTTGTTATGAACTGTTTTCACTGTTTTTAAAAATGGAGATAAGACAAAAAAGCACTGAGGTCGCGAGTTGTGTTAGGAATTTTGTTCAGAATTAGGAGGGGGGAAAGCAAAGGGCACTTAAGTTTTTTAAATTTTTTTCACTTCTATGTATTGTCATGTTCTGTGGTATGTTAGTGTTAGGTGTCAGTAGCCTAGTGGTTAAGCTACCGGACTCATAATCGTGAGGTTGCAGGTTCGGGGGTTCGAGCTGCGGGCCCGACGTTGTGTCCTTGGGAAAGGCACTTTACACAAATTTTCCTCACTTCACCCAGGTCGGAATGGGTACCCGGCCATAGACAGTTAAAGATCTTGTCAGTATGTTAGTATTTGAGCGCTTAATCAGCTGCTTGCACTGTATGCTTCCCAGGAAGTTGAGTTTGTTTCAGAATGCTTTCAGGTCTGCTGGGGTAATAGTATAGATTGTAAAGTGCATTGAGCTTGCTGTTGAGCAGGGATTTGCGCTATACAAATGTTATCTATTATTATTATTATTATTTTTCCAGGAAGATCACACTTATACAATAGCTGAGCAGGCTGAAATAGTGGAGACTCTGTTAGAGAAACTGAGCGTGCCGTCTGCCCATGTGCTGTCTCATGACTACGGAGATACGGTGGCTCTGGAGTTGTTGGCCAGGTGAGGTTTAGTCTGAGGCCGGTCCTGCTAATTGTGGTACTAGATTTATATCTCTGGCGAGGCACGGAGTGGTTTATTGCACAAAGGTTAGAAATGCAATGAATGTCCAATTGCTGGCAAAGCAATAGAAAAAAGAAGATATGAATCTACACTTGTATTTAAAAAAATTATGATCTCTATTACAAAGTTATTTCTTGACCTCACTCTTACCGTTAATGTGTTTACGTATGGTAAAAATCTTTCTTTTTTTCTTCTGAGTTATGAGGTGCTCTGTTTTTAGTCAACTTATGCTTCCAAAATATGAGTGAAATCTCCCATATATATAAATATATAAATGGTTGATATTGTCTAAGATGGCCAACCGTTGTGGAGGAGAAAAGTGGTGCCCTAAGACAGGCAGACCTCTTGGACTCTGCCATTATAATTTTTTTTTAAAAGGACAAGGGGGGAAAGTGGGAAATGGTCATTTGTGCCGGTGATTGGGTTGGGCAAGCAGCCTTTTGAGCATGTTCAATTGTACTTATGTCTGTTAGTGATAACCAGTACATGTTTTTCTTTGCTGACAGGAGCAACAGTAAAAAGCTTTCCTTTGTCATGCAATCTTTGACAATGCTGAATGGAGGTATGATTATTTGTAAAAGGTACTTTTGTAACTTTGTGTGTTTTATCCTGTCTAGTAATTGATGTAATTTATACTTTTCTTCTAATTTCTGATTTCTGAGTGGGTGGTTGGCGGGTGCTCTGATGTGGTTTGCTTCTTCTTTCCTATCAAACATCTATCGTGTTTATCTCTCCCCCTTCTTTTTTTGTGTTTGTTACTCTCTTTTAACACCTCAAATCTTCAGCACTTATATGACCTTATTGTGTTGCAAGTGCCGTAAAGCTCTTACTAAAACTAATAATGATTTCTGAGGTAAATAAAGAAGAAGTCTAAAGAACAACATGGATGGATATTTTTCCCTCTTTAGGAAGGTTAAAAAACAGGCGTTAAGATGATACCAATAACCCCATATGCCCAAAAATTGATGAGCGCCTGATTCCACTGCGTCGTGACACACCCACACACACCCACACACACACCCTTACGCACACCCACACACACACACACCCACACACACACACACACACACACACACACACACACACACACACACACACACTCACACCCACACTCACACACACACACACCCACACACACACACACACACATCCCCACACACACATACACACCCACACACACGCACAGTACTTTGTCAGAGTAAGAATGTGGCGTTGGTAGTCTTGTGATTAGGCTACCGAAAGGTCATGGGTTCGAACTGGATCAGGGGCTTGATGTTTTTGTCCTTGGGAAAGGCACCTTATGTCATGAACTTTTCCTTGTGCTTCATCCAGGTGGGAATGGGTACCTGTCTATAGAAAGCCAAAGTGTTGTCAGTTTGTTAGTTTGAGTAGTTCAGTACATGAAATAATTGGTACCTTCTTTATTTCTAGATATCTACTCCTTTACTTGTTTAAGGAGTTTTTTTGCAAGGCCATTTCATTAATAAAATGTATTTATTTATTATATATATATATATATATATATATATATATATATATATATATATATATATATATATATATATATATATATATATATGATATATATATGTATATTTCCTTGTTTATGTCGTAAAAGTCTCAGTGATAAGAATTCCTTTGCTTTTCCAGGGGTATTTCCAGAGACACATCGCCCAAGAATTTCTCAAAAGGTACATTGTATTAAGATCTTTTGGCCTTCTTTTAAAAAAATTTTTGCTTAGTGTTTTACAACGCTCGCAACTGCATAAGGTCAGATGAGCTCATGGGACACATTAAACCTTTTCAGTTGGTAGGAAATTTTTTATTTTGCACGGGTGGAGGCCGAAGCCTACTCTTATCAATTTTAGACCACCAAGAGATCTTTAACATTTCTGTGCGGATTTTACTGGAAAATATTGATTGACGAATTATCATTAATTGCAAACTGTGAATGTATTCCTACCCCCCGGGGCGGTGCTACTGACTGAAGTGTCTTTAGGCCATTCCCATTGGGGGGATATTAACATGATCTTATGCACATTAGAATTGTAAATGGGCTGATTCCTCAATGTCATGCTCATAACTGTGCCTGAACTGCAACAGGGAACTACTGCTTTTTCTTTCCTAATCCGTACTATCATCATTTTTTCTCTACTTGTTTTGTATGTTTGTCACACTCTTGTGACCTGCTATTTCCGGGGTGCCTTGATAGTTGAAGCAGACTTTGTGCTGTTGAAGCTAGAGAGGTGAGCAGAGTAAGTCTGATTCCTCGTTTGGACTTCTCTGTTGACATCCACCCTTAGTGCTCACATGACCTTATGCAGTTGCGAGCGCCGTAAAACCCTCTACTAAAACAAAAACTGAAATGTATTCCTCAGCTGTTGTTGACTCCAGGCCTTGGTTATGTCGTCAGCCGCCTGTTCAGTCTGCCGATCTTCTCCAGAGGGTAGGTTTACTTAATCTTCCAACACTCCTCACGAACAGAGAGAGAGAGAGAGAGAGAGAGAGAGAGAGAGAGAGAAAGGGGAGAGGGGCAGGGGCCCATTTATAATCTTTAATTACGTTTAACAACGAACCACTCACAATGTGACAATATAACGTTCACTACTGGATTGCAATATATATTGTGACAGTTCCTGATTGAGATTCCCCAATCATAAAAGAAAAATGTTTGAAATTCAGACGGTATAAAACGAATACTAATATTAATAATAATAGTAGTAATGACAATCATAACGACACGAACAAGAACAAGAATAAAAACAACATTAATAATAGTAATAAT